GCGCCGGCCGGCTTCATGCAAATGAAGCCCGGGAAATTCAAATTCCGGGCTTCATTTGCAAGTGCGGTATGCCTACATTACCCTCTTAGTTCGAATTAGGAGGGTACTGTAGACATACCCTAACTTCCCATGGAAGGGCGGGATAATCTACAGACCCCAAACTGGTCGGGTCTGACCAGTAACTTCCCATGGAAGGGCGGGATAATCTACAGACCCCAAACTAGTAAGGTCTGACCAGTAACGTCCCATGGAAGGGCAGGATAATCTACAGACCCCAAACTAGTAAGGTCTGACCAGTAACATCCCATGGAAGGGCGGGATAATCTACAGACCCCAAACTAGTAAGGTCTGACCAGTAACGTCCCATGGAAGGGCAGGATAGTCTACAGACCCCAAACTAGTAAGGTCTGACCAGTAACATCCCATGGAAGGGCGGGATAATCTACAGACCCCAAACTAGCGCCGGCCGGCTTCATGCAAATGAAGCCCGGGAAATTCAAATTCCGGGCTTCATTTGCAAGTGCGGTATGCCTACATTACCCTCTTAGTTCGAATTAGGAGGGTACTGTAGACATACCCTAACTTCCCATGGAAGGGCGGGATAATCTACAGGACAAGGGGAAAGCAGTAGTTGCTTCGCCTTTGGCTGGTGTGGCCCTCCTCAGAGGAGAGTTAAAGACCGCAGAGAGAGAAGGAAGTCCCTTCTTTGGAGGCTTGGCTGGAACGAGAGCCGTTTCCAGATGGGTTCATGATAAGGGGTAGATCTAGTTCTGCCTATTTTGTTATTTTAAATTTGTAACCTACTTTGCTCTGCCCGCTTTTGCTGGCATCCTTTTAAATCCTACTGCTTGTGCTAAGTGCAATACCTTTTACTTTGCATCAGGGGGCTTGCCTGAATAATTCATTGGGGGGCTGACCCCCTTTGGGGAGGGGTATCCCTGGAAACTTGGCCCAAAATTGCACTTTCCTCGCACCCGAAGAGGGTCAGTATCTGTATCTCGTTTTGGAGCGGGGGGTGGTGGTGGTGGTGGTGGAAGGGAGTGATCTCAGCTCTGTGCCTTGGACGGAGGAGACCAGGAGATCTGACCCAGCAGGACAGGGTGGTGGGAAGCCGCAGCGAGTGGGAGGTGAGTGTTAGGGTGTCAGCACACCAGGAAGCACCCCAAGGGGCCTTCTGTGACTGTCCCCCGTCACAGAGCGGTGTTACCTACCACGACCTGCAAACTCCCACAACCTAACATCCTTGAATACCTTCTGACAATAGAATAAGAAGCAAGGGGTAGCAAGGGAGGTTTAGGTTGGACATCAGAAAAACTTCCTACCTGTCAGGGTGGTAGACACTGGAATAAATTGCCTGGGGAGGTTGTGGAATCTCCATCACTGGTGATTTTCAAGGGCAGGTTGGACAGACGCCTGTCAAGGCTGGGGTAGATAATATTTAGCTCTGCAGTGAGTGTAGAGGACCGGACTAGATGACTGCTCAAGGACTCTCCCACTCCTGTGATTCTATGGTTTGACTTTTTTGCAACAGCTGAGAGATGTAGCGTGAGGTCAACATGCACATTTCTCCATTGGCCCAGCCTCCATCTGTCTGGGACCTGGATTGCCGGCTCTGAGAGGGGACCCCTGCTGTCTCGGTGAGCAACGTCTGCTCTGAAGAACGAAAGCAGAGCCTCTGTAGCCTCTGATGTGTCACCAAGCCCTCCCACTGATCTGCCAGAAAAGCATCCAGTCTGGGTCTGAAGCTGTGGGGAGTTGGAGAATCCACCAGCCCCCTTCACAGGTTGTCCCAAGGGTCGATCACCTCCATGTTGAACGTTCGGGCCTCATTTCCAGATGTAATGTGTCTGGCTTCAACTTCCGAAAGCAGAGCCTCTGTAGCCTCTGATGTGTCACCAAGCCCTCCCACTGATCTGCCAGAAAAGCATCCAGTCTGGGTCTGAAGCTGTGGGGAGTTGGAGAATCCACCAGCCCCCTTCACAGGTTGTCCCAAGGGTCGATCACCTCCATGTTGAACGTTCGGGCCTCATTTCCAGATGTAATGTGTCTGGCTTCAACTTCACCG